ACGTTTATAAATAAACATGTACACAACACATATACAAAAACGGCACTCAAGTACACAATACATTGACAAAAACGGTACTAGACTGTCTCGCTTTGATTTCGGAATGCTTACACTTTGAGAAGTTAGCTTACTGCCAATATAGAAGTATTACATATATGGGTAAAACATATATGTAATACTCCTATATTGGCAGTAAGAGCTAGTGCCGTCCGAAAACACTACAGTACAGATATATCAATAAACACGTACGAAAGAAAAGGAACACACACATTCCCAGCAAGAACAGTGACGGTCACTTTCCTAGTAACGTGACCGTCACGCGTGCCCATTAAGTTCGGCACGTTTTGCTATCACATTCTTAATAGTGAATCAAAAATGTTCCCAGAAGTTTTGTGTACGTGTGATTTTTCAAACCAAATAGTTTGCCTGCTTGCTCATATGTGAAAAGATTAGCTTGACTACTTACTCATATGCGAAAGATACCTCGCAAGAAAAAACAATAGATGGCACTCCAATCAAAAATTATTACATGTGTGTTAGTAACAGCATAAAATTTGCGTTTGTGTTGGAGTTTCGGTCACGCTGGTTTTGCTGGGAGCGTGACCGAAACGTTACTAGGAAAGTGACCGTCACTGTTCTTGCTGGGCTGGTTTTGCTGGGAAATTTGCGTTTGTGTTGGAGTTTCGGTCACGCTGGTTTTGCTGGGTTTATAAATAAACATGTACACAACACACCCTGTAGGGAAACCGCAGACTAGTGAATCAAATTTCTAGTTCCGTACTAGGTCTTTATCGCCAAAAGCGAACTAGTCCGATAGGAACTAGATCCCCACTAGTCTAAAATCGGCGAAAAGTGGTACTTTTAAAAAACTAATTTTTTCAGTTTTTTTCACCAGAAATCTATATCTAAAGTGACGAATTTAGAAATAGTTCGGAACTATAGAAAAAGGGATGTAGAACGAACTAGATCTTATTTGTCGAATTTAGAACCAGTTCGGAACTATCGAAAAAGGGATGCAGCAGGGGGTTTGTTTACTTTACATAGATACATATGTGTTCGGCGGCTTTTTCGTTCAAATACGCTTCTATTCTGTGCTTCGCAGATGCTTTTTCATAGCTTGGTAATACAAAACTAAAATTTGTGTTAACATTTCAACATCTTGGGACAGTCTGGAATCTAAGAAATAACAGCGAGCACCTCTGCAAACTCAACTACAGCTAAAGGTATGTAAACGTACATTTCTTACAATCATTCAAACAAATTTAATTTCAAATTGAAAACACATTTCTTCCAAAATAACTTAAAATCGCACACACGGAAGAACCAAAAAGATTGAAAAATCATGATACTTTTTTCTTTCGTCTGTCGATTTTAGAACTGGTTCGGAACTATAGAATTTAGGACTAGTTCGGAACTATCGAAAAAGGGATGCAGCGGGGGGCAATTGACACTTCCTAGGACATCGCCATGTTAAATTCGCCAGTTGCTTGCATGCAAAAGAGATTTATCGCGAACCAGTACTGGGTCTAAATGTACTAGAAGCGCACCAGTTCAGAACTAGAGATTTTCCCCACAGGGCATGTACAAAACCGGCACTCAAGTACACAATACATTGACAAAAACAGTACTAGACTGTCTCGCTTTGATTTCGGAATGCTTACACATTGAGATGTTAGCTTACTATCAATATAGAAGTATTACATATATGGGGTAAAACCGCTCGCTCAATTCGTCGGCCATCATTTATTTTTTGAAGTTTGTCTACTTGATAAAATTTAAATTTTCAGAGAAACTGAAATGCCAAATAAAAGTTAAACAAAATACAACTAGATGATAACATTCAAATTTTCTTTTATTTGAGACTGAAAGTGAGAATGTATTTGTGAGACTGAAAATTTGAAAACATTTTTGTTATGTTAGCAAACTTCAAAAATGTTCAGGCTGCCTCTAAGCGGTTTGATTCTTCGACTATTTAAAGTTTAAATTTTAAACACTAAAGATGGGAATGATCTCATTATTGCTATTCAAAAATGTCCTGTGTATAATGATATGTACACTCATGTTAAAATGAATAACACTTTTATTTTTGTGAATTTTATTTTATTTATGTACCAAAATATTTTTAAAAAGAAGAACTCTGGCGTTTTAAAGAATTTTCTGCTACTTAGATTCATAAAAATGTACTGAAAAGTACTGATCTTTTTAGCATGAAAAAGTCTAACATACTGATCTCGCACATAAAAAATCTGGCAACCCTAATTGGCAATCATATTTGCTAGCAATAGGTTTTCATGATAAGTAAGCAAAGGCCCAGGATTGGATTTTCTGTTCCCTCTTATGAAGAAAAGTTTATTTCCCCAACAACTCTGTACAAATTTTTTTTCCGTCAAATGTTATTCTTTACGGTTTTGATAATTTTTCTTCAATTCGGTAAAATGATTCGGAATATGGTTCCATTGGTTACATTTTCCAAACTATATATTATACATATTTACCACGAATAAAAAGCCAATAATATTAAGAATTCACACAGTGAAATTCCCCTCCTGGTACCTTCTTTTTATTTGTCTAATATCTCGTTGTGGCAATAGAGACGGTTGAGATTTAGCAACTGGATTCATTAAAACTTAATAGGTAAATCCAGATACCCAGAATAATAATTATTTCATGGTGAAGTTTTAAAAAAGTGATCAAAATTTTCGTAAGAATTATAAAAGCTCTTCGATAGTAATTATGTGTGAGATCGATAACTATTTTCTTAAGACTTATATAATAAAATTCTTTTCATAATAATTATCAGCGAGATAGTTAGGGAGTAGTTTGGGTCCAGTTGGGGACTAGATTGGAACTATATTACATACATATATAGTCCCGAATTGGTCCCATACCAAGGCCCAAATGGTCCCAAGCTAATCCCCAAATAGTCCCAAACTAGTCCCCACCTAGCCCCGAGCTGGTCACTAACTAATTCCGAAATGGTCCTGAACAAGCCCCGCCTTTTAAGGCTTAAAAATTTTTTTCGCACTCATAATTATTATGAAACGACTTGTATAATATAAGTCTCAAAGTAAAACTCTTTGAAGACTTAAAAATATTTAGCTCAATGATAATTATTATCAAAGGACTTTTATAATACATATAAGTCTCAAAATAAAAGTCTTTGAAGACTTAAAAATATTTATCTATCTGATAATTATTATGAAAGGACTTTTATAATATAAGTCCTTGAATAATAATTATAGATGACTCAAAAAATTTTTATCTTAATATAATAATTATTGATTGACTTTTATACTTTTCAATGGAGACATAGTATAAATCCGCATAAGTGCTGGCATTGTTGTCCTCAGAAATTCCTCAAATGCTGTTTACGCAGGTAACTAGTGGAGGAAAAAGTGGAGATTAATCTTGATACAACTTTGATTTCTATTTGCTTACTAGTGATGTGCTGAATTATCGGCACCCAATACTCGGTACCCAATACTTAAATCAGATTTCGGTACCCAATACTTCCTTTTCGGTACTCGATACCGATTCTTTACATTAAACCTTCGCATTATATGCATTTGAAGTTTAGAAAAAACTTTCATTACTAATTTGTATGATATCGGCTAAAACACTTGAACTTACCGCAACAGTTATCAGTTTTAACCTTTGTCGATCAAAGGTTCAAGAAAAATGCTTTGACGGATGAAGAAGCCTTTCAGGGGGGAGATTCTGTAACCAGTAAGCGACAAGTTTCGGATCGATATCGCACTTGTTGACTTAAAAATATTTC